ATCTGGAAGGAGAAAGGGCGGTGCCTCTGAAGGGCCCTGGTCGAAGCACTGGGTCACGGTCACCATGCCAACCCACAAGGAGTAGTGCACGCATGCGATGGCTGCTGTCCTGTTTGGCACTTGCTGCGCTCAGATAGAAGTCTTGCCGGGTGTGCCAACCTTTTAGAGACGCTTACCAGACCGTCTATAAACATTTCTGGTTGGGAGTTCATTGTGAATCTGGCTGTGATCGTCGTCCTGACTACGACGTTAAAGAATTCCTGAAGAGATGGGGGCGCTCTATAAATTCCTCTTGATCAGCCAGGTCACATGGACAGTAAGGCTCGTTTCCGTACGAGGGTAAATAAGAGTGGACTGGTTGGCTTGCTCAACTCTGACTTGGGCACAGGGGTGGGCCGATACACACACGAACACACTGCTTTGCTCAAGATGTTGTCCGGATGGTTGGATTGAGGGGAAGGGTAGATTCGAATTGGTGCTCAACTGAATACACAACTATTCCCATCAATCATACATCTGCTACATTGTCTTTTTGTACCTTTGATTAGTTGGTTGACGGACTACTAACCTCACAGACAGATTAGTGTAGGACTGTTGTATGCTACCTTAGCCAGTTCTAACAAACGCTGCTGTAAGTGAACCAATCAGGGTGCATCTAGACTATGTAGACAATTTGTGTGAATGTTGTCGACATGCCACTTGATTCGGTATAGTAGGGAACTCGCCGGACACAACTATTTATAGAAAATTACGTGCCGGTCAGATACATGCTGCAGTAGGATTCCATTAGGGGATTCTAGTGTAGACACTATCTGTCTAACTAATGAGTGTGTCAGACCCTGTTGATGATAGAGCTGACGGTAGGAGATTAACACGTGCACAGGCACTAAGGGTACCGCACGTGTTCCAGGCCTTGGAGCCGGGAGAAGAAAGACGACTACGTAGAGCCCGTGCTCTAGCGGCGGGGATAGCAGCAGCAAACGTAGCAGCTAGAGAGCAGGCAACAACAGCCAGAGCAGCAGCGATGGCTAACGGCGCAAGCTCCGCTGCATCATCGTCTGCGTCCTCGTCAGGGACTAATGGGAGCCAGTTGGGAATGCCAACGAGTTCCACAAGTTCCTCGGGCACTTTCGGTTCCACAGGTTCTAGACAGTCTTCTAGTCAAATGGCGGGCGCGCAGTTCAGCCCATTGACCCCGCGTGAGAGGGAGCTCAGAGAGATCCAGCAGGTCGAGAGGCTCCGCCGTAAGTTAGAGCAGGACCTGAAAGATGCTACCGATAGAGAAAATGCGATGAAAACTAGAGCAGCCAGGCTTGGAACTTTAGAGGGTGACAAGGCTGAATTAGAGGGCTTGGATGAGTCAGCATTGACTGACCCGTTGAAAGTATTGAAGAAGAACATGCTGTCATTGCACGCGCACGTGGACAGCAAATTAGACTTCATGCAGAGCACTCTAGACCAGATCCTGGATGCTTTGACAAGGCCAGGATTCCGGCCACCAGCACAATCGTCGTTGCCGTTATCGGCGATGTCAGGCCCCTTTCCAGTTCAAGCTGGTACACAGCCTAGTGGTACGTTTGCAGCAGTCTCACAAACTGTTGCATCTTCTTCTTCGGGTCCAGCGGTGGGAGCTACACCACCACAACAACCTGTTCCTCCGCAGGGACAGCAGCAAGGTCAATGGTATCCTAAGACCCCGATGAAACTGCCTCTTGCCTTCTCAGGCGAGAGAAAGGACGAGGAACTCAACACATGGTTGAGGACCATCTCGGTTTGGGTGAAGGCAAAGAGAACCTTGCCTGAGGACGAAGTGGTAACTGTTGCATCTTACCTCGAGGGTAAGGCAACCAAATGGCTAGATGGTGTAGTGATAAAGGCCGGGTATGGGAGACGCATGGCAGACTGGGCTAAGTCATTGACGTTAGACCAGTTCATGGAAATGGTAGAAGCTCGCTGGCATAATCCACAGGAGGCACAGAAAGCCACTGATGCGATTAACAAGTTGGACCAACGAAAGTTCAAATCGGTCAGAGAGCTTACGACTACCGTTGAGAGCCTGATCCTCTACGGTCGGGATCGCGGAGCGTGAAGCCACGCGCACTCGCGCGCACGGGCGTGCACACCCGTGCACAGTCGCAACGGTCGGAATCACGACGGGCGAAGCCACGCACGTGCACACTCGTGCACACCCGCTCGCACACCTACGCAGAGTCAAAACGGGGCGCGCGTAGCCATGCGCGCCAGAATGTACACACGCGCGAGCGGGGACGAAGAGCGCAGGAGCCACGCGCATCGTTGCGCGTGGTCGCGATCGGGACCAGAGCAAGCTAATCAACGGAACAGCCCCTTCTGGCACAGTCGGGACGCTAAACAGCTGAACAGTTGAACAGTTGAACTGTTGAACAGTTGAACGAGAGGTTAGTTTGAATAGAACGGTGGGCTCGGTAGGCTCCTCGAACAGTTGAGCCACCCCTGCTAGATAGTTCACTCCCACCTCGATTTCTCTCTGAATTATGTGCTCGTATTCCGCACAGGCTAACCGCGACAACCCAAATATCAGAATATTGATAACCTTCAACAACTCCTGGGCCCGGTTTCTCCAAAACGGCCCGTGCTCCACGAAGATGTCATAAAACATCCTCATGGCTTGAGGTGGGAAGTGATTTATCCAGACTATTACTGAGTCCGCCAGATCCTGCGCCCTGGCGAGGCTCCCGAAGATGAGGTCTATCATGAATCGAGGGACCCGACATCTTAGCGGGATTGTTGGTGCGCTAAACTCCCACCAGCTCCCTACTTCCACCCTAATTCGTAAGCCCACGTTCCTCCTACCCCTGATCGATTGGCCTATCCGTGTCAATACCCGGGCGACCCTCCGAAAGACTAGGGCTAGCTTGTGACCTTGTGCTATTCCTACTCCCAGCGAGTGCCAACCAATTTCGGGTAGGTACAAGGTCCCGGTCACTTCCAAATTGGAGTACAGGTCATCCCCAGGCCCTTGGTTAAATCGCATCCCGCTCCACAAACATTCCACCATCATGAAGGCGCTGTTCTTCCCCAAGGTCACGGTCCGCTATTCTACGTCGATTCCCCGAAATTCGAAACTTGACGGAAGGGACACTTCCCACCGTCTGCCGTTATTCCAGGGCGGGCCGAGGTACCGGGGTTGGTGTGCTGTCCGAACGTGTCTCGCCACCATTGTCGATTGGTGATTTCCTGCATGGCCCAAACAGAGAGGATTACAACCCGTCTTCAACAACTGTCCGCCTACCGCCCCCTTTTCCTTTTATGCCCTCATTCTTCTTCCCTCAGCGGCTCGATCCCCAGTGGCCGGTCTTCAAGGACCGTCCCTCTTCAGGCCATCTCGTACTGCCCTTCTCGTCTCGCTTCCTTGCCTGTGATCAGCAACTGCGCCCACAATAGCCGAACGCCTCTCCCCATTTTAATCTCCCCGCACACCCCGTTAAACTAATGCTCATGCTCCCTACCCTATGTTACCCCCTAGTTTACATGCATCCCCCACACTTTGATTTCCCCATGGTTTCCGACCTTCCGACCTTTTGCTCGAACCACATTGCTTCAAACAGTTTGAAAACATCATCCACGTAGGATGGAGCGGTCGCCGCCTCCCGGCTAATTATGGCATCCCAGGCCGCCGCGTCTACCTCTAGATGATCATACTTGCTTGTTCTTAAGATGACGAGAACCTCCCAGGCTCTATCGCCGTAGAAGGGCCCGTATTTCAACGAGGTCCTGTAAAATTCTTCAGTTAACCAGGCACATTCTATATGTATCCCTTCCATGGAATCGGCCACGTTTAAAATGTGGTAAAAAACCCCAAACCAATTGGCCACGAACTCAGGCACCCAAGCTGTTGTTCGCAGACTGGGAGGCTTGAGTTCCTTCCATCCTCCTATCACAACCCTACTACTGACCTCATCCCACCCTTCGTTGGCGAACCTCTCGCCCTCCTTTCGGGTTTGCGCCTTTGCATTCCCCAGAAGCCACATCGGATCCTGTCCTGCCGCTATCGCAGTGCAAAATAAGTGTCACCCCTCTTCGAAAAGAACGACCGTTCCGACTGATTCCACTTTGCCTTCCGCTATCTCGTCCCATCCTTCCTCTTCCCTTATTGGGTTCCAGATCCGTTCTCTTCAAACGTACGATAGTCTCGGGGCAACCTCAAATCCAACCCAGTCGCACGTGGTTCCTCTCCATGTGTTTTCCGCTGGTATAGGCATTTCTACCCCCCCTCTGAGTTGCCTCGGCTCCCATCCTTTGAAAGTGCATTCCATCAACAACTACTCTCTAGTCATCATTTCCTTCCTGCACAGCGCCGACCACTCGCTTCCCTCAAATAAGTCCCTCCCCTTAGAAATCCCAGTCTTCTATCTCATCCCCCTCACCATCGTCACTGAGGTCCTCCTCTTCGTCCCTCACCCCCTCCAAGAACATCTGCCCTATGGCCACATTCCTGTAAACTATCCCCCAATGCACCGGGCTCGGGACATAGACATTGTCTATGATGAGGTTGCTCAGCATCTCTGCCAGCTCCCTTGCCCAATTTCCTTCAAAGGGCCCCATTTCTACCGACAGGCAGAAGAAGTCCTGCCTGGCGCATTGGTACAGCCCGAGGCTCGTCATGGACTGGCATATCTGTACCAACCTACTTCGGGTCCCGAAGACCACGTCCACCAGAAAATGAGGTAGCATCGTCCAGCGCAGTCCCTAGCACCAAGTCCACGACCATAGCATTTTCCCCATCCTGCGACAAGTAGACCCACCCAGGGCTTCCACTGTCCCTCTGAATTCCAAATTCAACAAGCTTGGTGACAACGTCGTCAGACTGACCTTAGTCCATACCGTCTCTATCCAGAGGAACGCATCCTCCTCATCCAGCATTACAGTTTGATAGGCTGGCTCTAGATCGGTCCATGTTCCTTCTTCCGGGAGGACGACTTACATCTACCGGCATTTCCGGACCGCTGGAAGATTGGGGACGACAACCACCGCACCATCTTGTTTCCAGCACCCGACTCCTGTTTCCATAAGAGAGCACTGAACGGCCCCTCCGGTCAGGTCAATCTATATCCTAGATGAGGATTATTTCAGACCCCTCATCAAGGTCTCCCTGATCTACCCCCCCATTCCTAAGCACCATCCTTCCCAGTACCTTCGGTGGGCCATCATATCCCATATTCCTTCTCTTGGTTCCATTCCAGGCTGACCTCTATCCTCCTTCCTTTCAATCATCTTTCACTTGTGTAGACTTAGGCAAGGAGGAGGGAATAGATTAGAATCGTAGCCCCGTCCAACAACTCAGATATCAGCCAACCTTTACAGAGGAGGAATACAAAAAAAAAGATCCAGGCAACCTCACACACAGGCCGGTCATCTCCTCACCAGCCTTCCTCAATATGGTCTCTCCACTGGTACTTTCGGTAGAGTTTTATCCCATACCTCAAGCGCAGCTCAACCGTCGCGAGCGCGGTACCCAGGCTCCGGCACAGGGTGAAGAAAATACAAGCCCAAGGGGGTGAAGAAAAACCCAGTGGCAGTCTTAATATAGAAAGATTATGATGAAGCATTGAAAAAGGAAAGATAAATTATAAGAGCATTGAGGGAATCAGCAAAACTGGAGAACAGGGTCACCAGAGAAAGGTTTGACACAATGAAGATAGGCTCGAATCAGTTTATCCTGCCTAAAGAGAAAGAATATATATTCGGGATGTGTTAGGAGTTCTCTGGTGCTTTCTCCTTTAATGATGAGGAGAGAGAGTGCTTGGACGTGGACATGATCAAGATGGCCAATATTTGGGCAGTTGACCATGTTCCATGGAATGATAGGCCAACCAAGTATGCCTTGAAGGAAGAGGCAGAGGTTGTAAAGTATCTTGACAAAAAGATTGGATCTAATGTTGCTGAACCTGCTGATGGACCATATGCTAACCACTGGTTTTGTTTCTGGAAACCAGGGGGCGGGCTAAGATGGATACAGAATCGTCAGAAACTCAATTCTGTGACGGTACGTGATGCAGGTAGTCTTCCTAATGCTGATCTCCTCGCTGAGTCCTTTGCTAATCGATATATTTATTCTCTAGTTGACCTGTATTCTGGCTATGACCAGTTCCCTATTGATCCCACTAGCCGGCCAATGACTGCCATGCACACTCCAAGGGGGCTTGTTCAGATGTGTGGTACCACAGGGCTGGACTAACGGTGTGGCAGTGGTTCAAAGGGATATGATCAAAGTCATGCAGGATATTTCCCCTGAAATAACTAGTCCCTATATTGATGATAATCCTATAAAAGGACCCTTGGTAAGAGATAGACTTTGGTCGCAGAGGGAGTCAGAAAGTTTGTCTGGGAACATGTTGAGGGAGTAAAGATGGTCTTAGAAAGACTTCGAAAGTATAACTTGACTGTCAGTGGGCCAAAGTCCCTTCTCTTCCAACCAGAAGTGATAATCTTGGGCTTCAGATGCTTCTCCAAGGGTAGGAGCCCAAATCCCAAGAAGATAGACAAAATCTTGAACTGGCCTCTGCCTCTCAAAAAAGTGACAGACGTCAGGAGCTTCTTGGGAGTCTGTGAATTCTGGAGGATTTTTATTCCTCATTTTGCTGCCCTTGCAGAACCTCTGAGAGAAATGGTAAGACAAGAGGCTAACTTAGCATGGAATGATAAAAGACAAGTTGCAGCAGAAGCGTTGCAAGAAAAACTAAGAGACGGTGGTGTAGTACTGGGAGTACCCTATTATGATGATGAGGAGACAATACCTTTCATCATTGAGGCTGATGGAGGACCAGTGGCGCTGGGTGGAGTGCTTATTCAGAAATATGAAAATGGGAGAGAGAGACCTCTAAGATTTGAAAGCAGAACCCTCAATTCTACTGAAAGAGGCTACACCCAATTCAGGAAAGAACTACTGTCAATCATCTATAGCCTCAGGTGCTTCAGGCACTACGTCTTGGGAAGGAGATTCATCCTGAGGACTGATGCATCTGTTGTGATTGGTGCCATTAAAAAGCACTAACAGGTAGATCCAACAGTCAGCAGATGGATCGCCTTCATCTGGACATATGATTTTAAGTTCGAAAAGATCCCCACTGAGAAAAACAGGGCGGATGGCTTAAGCCGGATTGAGTGGCGAGAAGAAGAAGAAGAAGATGTGGATGGAACAATTGAAGAATCAGCCTATGTTGATAACTTTCTTAATGAAAAAGATGATGAGGATTACGAGGCACCATGCTCCTACCGGTGGAGTCTGTGGCATGAAGAGAGAGACAGTTGGGGAGAAATCCCAAGTGCATACGTTTATGAATCGATTCTTGGGAAAGAGGAAGAAGATG